CACACACACACACACACACACACACACACACACACACACACACACATGCATGCACATGCACTACATATCGTCACGAGCAGTGGTCAGCATTGACTTACAAAAATACAAAGCGGAGAGGGACAGCATTACAGGTATATCGAGGAGATGTCTTGCCTGCAGTTTCCGCAGCAATGATGAGAATTTGTTTGCATCCTCCTTGGGAAGCAATTCCGACCCTTGGTAGTTTCCGTTCGACCATAGGCAGGCAAATGAAGGGGTCAAGTCCCAGCCTTGTCGCGCCGACCTGGAAATCGGCCACTTTTGAACACCTGGAACTTGATCTTGACTTTGGAAAGCAGCGGTTGGATTCCGGAGCACTCTTACTGCCTTGCCAACGAGCAATATAGACTCGGCAACCGGCAGAGAGATATAGCTTGGAAGCATCTCCTGCCAGCCAAACCCCAGATCAATGTGACAGGTTCAGTGAGCCACCACGACCATACACTAGCATCGTTCATTCGATCCATGTCTCCTCGTATTCCCCATCTGTACAACAAACCAACAACATGCCTGCATTCCAGTCATACAGAGGGAATATTATCCATCTGCCATCCATCCATCATCATCCATCAATCCATCCATCCATCCATCAAAATCCATCAACCCATCCATCCATCAATCCATCCATTCACCCAAGCGGTATCGGACCCACCTCAACTCCACTCTTATCTACTTTTTCTTCACTAGCTGCCCTTGAGATAACGTTTTTCCATCTCCCAGGACTTTGCTCAACAGTTTTCATGTGTACAATGATGCAATCACATCCACCAGGCAATCTTCATCTATCTCTATGCGGACAAATTGAATATTACACCTCAGCTTATGAAAACCACAGGAAAGAATGCCAGTCACCTTTTTAGCATGGTTGCCCCGGACACGGACATCCGGACAACCGGACACATTCAACGGACCCGTATCTGGATTAAACCGGACATCCAGTTAACCAGACATCTAACCGGACATACGGACAACCGGACCTGGACAGTCCAGTTGGGTGTATCAGTGTCCGGTTGTCGGAAAAAAAAAAAAAAAAAAAAAAAAAAACATGACACAAACACAGACGCACACAGGTCTGTGGGAGTGGTCCAACACGCTAATAAAATTGGAAATATTAACGTACGAACTTCGAATCTTGACCGGCACACATGACACAAACACAGACACACACAGAGCAAAGTTCCACACCCGCTCCAGCCCCCAAGTACCCCGCCTCAGTCTGTTGACTCTAATTGTTTGCGTTTCTTGCGTGCAAGAGGCTCTTCCTCGGAATCAAAAGCGCTGCTACACAAGGCAGAGCGCTGCTGCACGAGGCGCTTCGTTAGAAAATGGGGTCCTCCCGCCAGCGGGAAAACAACACATTGGTACTGCGGCTACTACTGGCGTCCGAAGTTCCTTCAGGGGTGGTCCGGTTGGGGTGACGGTCCAAAAAAAACAACAGCAACAATGTTTTTTTCTGGGGTACCCCAGGCCCAGTAAAATGGCCTGGGGACCCCCAAAAAAAATTCGAATTTCTTGAAATCAGGGTCCAACCGGACCCTCCAAACCGGACACCGGACCCGGACACCGGACACCGGACTGTCTGGATCGGGATCCGGACGTCCGGTTGGCAACCATGCTTTTTTGTCTTCTGACATTAACATTGCAATGGGACATGTGTGGTCATATGCCCCCTCTTCGTGCCCAAGTTGTCGTACGTTGGTTGGATCATCTTTATTTTCTCTCTGTCAACAGCGTGCAGTATAAATCGAATGGTTCAGGATTATTAGGCCTCTTCAGAGTACGACTCAGATAAGACATGTTTCACATTCTCACTCATCTGTGAGCAAAATTGCTGATCAATGCCTGGTTGTCTCCCTCGTCTCTAAATCCTACCTTTGGTGTGCATGGTGTATGCTTAGTGGAGGTGGAATGACCATTGCAGATTGCATCCTGAGAGGGCTGAGTTTTTGTTCTGTCCGTCCCCCTCTCTGAATTTTCTTCTGAGTTTCTTTGTGTTTTCTCTGAGTTACTCTGGGCTTTCTCTGAATTGTCTGCGTTTTTCTGAGATAACTGCAAAAGTTCATACTAACTTCCTATCCTTGCTGTGTAATTTTCTGATGTTTTCAAAACTCCTGTACGCGGATACAAACCTTGCATGTGGCCACGCTGCGATCCGAGTCTCTGGCCGCAAACGTTGCACGTGACCATGTAATGATTTAAGTCTTGGAGAGGGACTTCCCTACAAGAAGGTGAACTTTTGAGGGGCAGGACTGGAAATTGGTGGTGGAAGGACATAAAGATTGTCTTCTACGAGCAAGCTTGAGACTTGGCCTGTACAGGGACATAAAAGGTAACAAGCCTTTTAGCCCTGCTAGAGTTTTTCTGCACGTCCATAGCAGGCCAGTAGTTCCGTAGGATTAGAGGATTGGCAAACCTGGGTAGCGGACCATACCATACGCAGGGATGCCCAGTGCCACAGATAGCTTACAGACTGAGCTGTAAGGCATTACTTTCCCGCCACAAATTGACAGAAGGTAGGGTTCACAAGTACAAACTGGCACCAACAAGCCTAGCTCTTTTTGTACACCCACGGACTGTGGAAATACAGACCCAAGTTCGAATCCAGACGCAATCAGATGACCAGGAAAAAATCATTCTGAATTATCTGGGGCCGGTCAGTTCAACGATGATATCTGAAGACTGCAGGCAAAAAAAAAAAAAAAAAAAAAAAAAGTACAAATTGGCAACAGGAGAAGCAGTGACAGTTTCAAGGCGCTGCGAAGACTACACCGAACATGAGAACAGGGTAAGACGGTCAGGTCCTGAGGGAGGTCGAACATATCCTCGAGCTTATGGAGTTTTTTTTCTGTCAGTTGACTCAGTTCACAACAGTGGTCTTAGAGGGATTACCTGGACTGATTTTTAAGCATGTTTTGTTGATGGAAGCAGCATTCATAGGGGAGGATTTGTCTTATAGCCCAAAGGTTGGGATCGACTGTGATTCAATCCTTCCTGAAAGAAGTAATCAAAATGTTGTCAGGGGTACCCCAGGCCGTAACACGGGAAGCATTAAGAGTGAGAGTACTATGTGGAGGGACCCCCCTCAAAAATAAATTTTAAACAAAACTTGACAAAGGGTGTTTCTTGATCTCTGCACATTCTTGTGACCAGGCGGTGTACCAGCTCAAGAGAGCGAGTGTCAAGTTTTGGGAGGAGGGCAGTGTGCACCAAATGAGCTGGGAACAAAAAAGAGCTGAAACTTTGAAAACATACCAACCGCACACTGAAACCGGAGTGCCAATCTGTGGTACATCCATGCTCCTGATCACTGGAAACTGTACTCATAGATACCACATCTCTATCTCCCGGGCGTCTGTGGTCAGACCCATCACTCTTCCTCTCACTTCCGAGGTGCTGCCTGCATACACAAATGCAAACATACCAAGGCAGAGAATAACACTGATGAACCTCATTACCCAACACCAAAACACATTTCAACAGGCATGGTAGACAATGCGACTCCATCCCTCATTCCGGCCACCCAGCCACAGAATGCATCTATTCTCTTGGTTGTCAGCATAGCACACCTGCTGGAGGAGTTGTGCACACAACCCAACTACAGGTAGTAACCTGTGCCATGGGTGTGTCCTGCGAAGGCCTGCAGAAGTATTGGCAAGTGCATGTTTGATCGATGATGGAGTTCAAGCCCCCGCTCTGGCCCATCCATAGAGGGTGTGGAAGAACATCTTAATGACTATCCTTCGTAGGCTCGATCTCAATTCTCGTACAATGTTGCCCCTTCTCCCTCCGTGTCCTTTTCCTTCTTCCTCTTCCCCAACTCCACCTTCCTCGCCTGTACCCTTCTCCTCCTTCCCCCTCGTGCATGCTGGTCAAAGGTCAGGCATGCGGAAAGCCAACGTCAATCCTATGGGGAAGAGTGTGAAGACAGCACAGAGTAAGACTCATTCACATGAACAGGTGAGTGGAATACGCACACGACCCAACTGGAAGACTGGGGGCACAGAGTCGACTCGCACTCACAGCAGGGACCGAAGCGTAAATGGAAGAATGGCCCCTCACTCAGTCATACACAGACAAAGGCAGGAAGAAGACGAAGGACAGAAGAAGGCAAAGAGTTTAAGAGATGACAATCCTGGTAAAACAACCTCCCTCTCCTTTCCAACAACCTCCTCCTCCTCCTAACGAATCACCACCAGAAATAGTAGATCAGACCTATGCCAGGGAGAGCAGCGCCCTCCTAAAAATACATTTCCATAACCCCCCCCCACTCTCTCTCTCTCTCTCTCTCTCTCTCTCTCTCTCTCTCTCTCTCTCTCTCTCTCTCTCTCTCTCTCTCTCTCTCTCTCTC